GGCAGTGGTGGGTCAGAGCCAGGCCCTGTGGGTAAACTGCCCGCCGTGCACTTTCTGGAGGCCTGGGCCACAGTCCTCCGGCTGGCACCTATTTCATGGAGGCCCTGCCCCCGGGCGAGCAGTCCTGTCCCTCCACCTTCCTGCCGGCTAGGGGAAATTGGGTCGAGAGAGTTTATTGCCCGCAGGGCTGTGCCCTAGATCTACCCCCTCACCAGCTCCTGGCACCCTGTGCAAAGCTCACCTCCTCACTCGCTGAGCCTCTGGGACCCAAGTCACCCCTTTGGCTGCCCTGAATCCAAAGCCATCCCTAGAAGAAGGAGTGGGGAAGTTGTTCCCATCCCCAGCATCTCTGCTTCTACGCCACCAACAGAGTGAGCTGGCAAGGCAGGGCTTTAGGCCACCCTCCTGAGACCCTCTGGATGACATATGGCAAGAGGAGAAATATCTGGTCATTTCTTTGGGCTGTCCTGAACCCATGGGCAAGGAAGGGACCAGAAAGCTTGAAACTCAAGCCAGCAGTCCCAGCTGCCATCTATCAACTCAGCAGTCCCTGGAGCACTGTCCTAGCAGTAGGAAGTGGGCACAGCGGAACAGAGCTGGGTCCCTGAACTCAGAGGACATACATGCAGCAGGAGACAGATTCCCACGGGGTCAGCAGTACAAGGCAGAGCTGGGTGCCGCTTTGCCAGCTTGAACTGTGCCACACCCATGTCACCAGGGCACATTGATGAAATGCTGAAAAGAAGGCTCAGAGGAGGGTGTCCAGTTGGGCCAGGTCTGGCAGGGGCCCATGTCACCCCTTTCAAGGGGTGGTCTGCCCTAGGCTTGGATCCCATCAGGGCTGAGCAAACATCCAGGCACTGGAGCACAGACATCTTGGCTCCTGCCCACTGGGGGAGTGAGGGCAAGGGGATCAGGCTCTGGGGTGGGACCGCCTTCCATCTAGTACCCCAGGCTGTGCCCCCCTCTGGGCTGTGACAACCAGATCCCTAGAATAAGCCTAAATGATTCAAGCCAGATGGTTCATTACGACTTTAGCCAGGGTTATGCTATTTGCTGCCCTAATTATTGGATTATCTCTGTTCTGACAAAAAGAAATGAGGGCGGTTGCTCTGTTGTCCAAGGCAGAGAGTGTTTATTTACTCGGCCTTTTCTGCCCCCTCTTTAAAGCCCTCTCTTTATTAAGTCATGTCAAGACGTGCGCGCGCGCACACACACACACACGCACACACACACGGCTCACTTTTACCCAATGGATCTCGCAGAGGAGTGATGATGGGAAGAAAGGTGGCGAGTGTGGGAATACGGAGCTACCCACCCCGGTGTCCCACACACACTGCTTCTGCCCAAGGTGTTCTCCTGCCTGAGCCCCACCTGTGGAAACCCCAACCATGCCTCCACACCGTAGCAACTAGGATGTTTGGGTTGTAAGTAGCAGCAAAACAACGGACACCGAGGCTTTGACACCGAGGACCGCCAAGGTCCCAGGGCACCAGGGCACTGAGGCAGCAGCACTGTCGGTGGTCAGTGGTAGTGGTTCTGTCCCTCATCCCATGTGGTTGTGCTCTTTACCTTGTAGGCTGAAAAACAAGGCAGATTTGCCATTCCCATGGGCATCTGGGTGAGGAAAGTGCAGGTGCAAGCCAAGGCACACGCCATCGGTCTCCACCAGCCTAGCAGGACCCTTGTGGTCTAAGTGGCTGCTGGGGGTTCAGGCATCACCTGTAAAGGCAAGGTCCTGGATGTGATGAGGACCAGTTTCCTCTCTCACGACTCAGCGTAAGCAGGAGGAAACCTCCCCAGAGGTCCCAGGAGACCTGTCCTTTTGTCTCATTGGCCAGAACGGTACCACATGCCTATGCTTAAACCTGCCCTATGGGATTCACCCTTGGGCTGGGTCAAGACTGATTCCACGGAGGTCTGGAGCAAGGACAAAGTGCTGGGTCTGCTACAGAGGCTCTCCTCGGCAGGGGTGTATCCCAGTCCCCACCGGCTGCAGCTCCCCTTTCTTTGAGCCCAGAACAACTCTTGGCCTCAGTCATGTTCTAAGCGGACCAGTCTTCATATTGTTATGCACTCACCATTGTACCCCAAATGTGTGCCAGGCACTGTGCTAGGCTCAGAAACACAAGGATCCCTGAGATGCAACTTCCGACCTCAGGGCATTCACAAAACCCAGGGTGATCTAGCTGCCCCGGCACTGAGGGGCGAGGAGGCGGGCACCTGAAGGGGGGGGCGCTGAGTCTGGCACAGAGTGCACTCACAGAGGGGACTCTGCTGAGACCGAGAAGAGGGAGGAAGCGGGCTGGCAGAGTGGAAGGAGAAAAGAGATGCTCCTGGCAGAGAGGCAGCTGTGTACACAGGTACGCAAGAAACACAGCCCGTAGAGGCAAAGCAGCAGAGCCAAGCAGCTGAAACAAGGAAAAGGAACCCATGATGAGGCCAAAGCAGTCGTATCACAGGGTCTTGAATGCTGTACCCAGGAGACTGAACCGAGTCTGGGGGTGATAGAGAACCTTTGAACAATTCAAAGCAGGGGAGTGAAACGATTTTGTAAAAGTCCTAACCCTCTGCCTCGGAGCTCCTGGGAAGCAGGGATGTACAGCTCATTCCTCTTTGAACCCCCTGCAGTGCCTGCTTGGCTCAGAGCCTCAGTTTCCCCAACTATAAAATGCTTTCAACTCGAGCTTGATAATTTTCCATGGTTCTTGTCACAGTTTTTTTTATTGTTGTTGTTTGCTTGTTTAACTATTTGAGAGACTGACGGTTTTCCAAAAAACACGAAAGCAGGGCAGATTTCCTATCCTCAAGGGTGTGTGGGTCAGGAATCTCCGGGTGCAAACCAAGGTTAGCATAATGCTGTCAGTCTCCATCAGCCAGGGATGTTCAGCCTTACAGGAACCAACAGGGGCTTAAGCTTGACTTTTTCTGAATTAGCCCCATTAAAGCTCTATAATTATCGACAAGCGGGTGACAACTCTCAAAGGCCCATTAGTGACCAACCCTCATTATTTTTCAAAGATGTAAACTTTAGTGGCATGTGATTTGAATGCTCTAAGGGCAGGGACAGCAGACTCCTGGGCTCACACCGAGAAGTGCCTTCCCTGCCCTTAGGGCCCTCCTGCCCCCCCCTCCCCCT